GGCACATGCAGACTGCCGGCAGCCGTTCGCAACGCCCTCGACAAACTTAGCAGCGCCTTCTACATCAAGCTTGCTGCAAGCGTAGTAGTCGAGGAACATCAGCGGCTCGGCGCCTTGTACGACGAGATCGTTCACGTTCATGGCGACGAGATCGATACCGACGGTGTCGTGCTTGCCCATTTCGAAGGCAATCTTCACCTTAGTGCCGATACCGTCGATAGCGCCCACCAGTATGGGTGCCTCGGTGTAGCCAGCTGCTTGCAAGTCGAGCAGCCCGCCAAATCCGCCAATCTTGCCATCGGCTCCAGGACGTTTTGTGCTAGCAGTCAATGCCTTGATCTGCTTAACGAGCTGGTTACCCGCGTCGATGCTCACACCCGATGATGCATATGTCAGCGCCTCGCCAGCTGGCTGTGAGGTGCTGGAAGGGCGTGTCACAGTGGTGCCCTCCTCGGCCGGCTCAAGGAGCTTCCAGTCGCATGTTATGCCTTCCTTCCTGAACTCCTGTAGCAGATGTTCTGCGATCTTGTCGAAGTTCTCGGTCGCGAGTGCGAGGATGGTCGGGCCGGCGCCTGAGAGACAGATGCCCAGCAGACCGGGGTGTGATTGTGGGGTAACGGATTGGAGGATTTCGGTAAGACCGGGGATGAGGCCGCGACGGTAGGGTTGGTGGAGCTTGTCTTGCATAGCAGTGTAGATCATGTCGGGGTCTGGTGTGGCTTGACCGAGCGCGGTGGTCAGGACAGCCAGTCGCTGCATGTTGAAGATGGCATCTTTGCGCGAGTACGACTCAGGCAGTACCGCACGCGCCTTGGCCGTCGAGACCTCGAATTGTGGGATGACGCATATGCACTTGATAGCGGGCGACCAAGCAAACTTGGTGTAGTGTCCAATGTTGAGAGGAGGCTCGGGTGGCCGCAGACCCGTGTCTACACCACCGGCGGGCTGTGGGAGGACTTCGCTGAGGGGAATTTCGAGGCGCTCGGTGTCTTCGGGCGACAGTTCGTTGAGGTATGTGCCGACAAAGCCTCCATATAGCGCTGCTGCGACGTTGTCTGGGTGACGCTCTTCCATCAGGCAATAGTCGAGCATGCGCGCTCTCGATAGCCCAAGGTTTCCGACCTCATTCGCCAGATACACACCTCCTACAATAGCCGCAGCCGAAGAGCCCAGTCCGCGTCCCAGTGGTATCGGGTTCTTGACGTGGACGTGTGTTTCCGAAGGGAAGTCGCGAACGCCATGGCAGCGGAGCACGTATACGGCAGTTCGCGTGATGAGGTTGTCTTGCGCGGCGAGCGGGACATCTTCCGCGCCTACGCCTTCATATGTTATCTTGCAGTTGAGCGAGTGTTCTGATTTCTCCTTCTTGGTGACTGTGACCTCGAGTTCCAGATAGAGGTTGAGCGCAAGGCCAATGACGTCAAAGCCGGGGCCGATGTTGGCGGACGAGCAGGGGATCTTGATGTGAGTAGTCATATTGGACTACAGAGCGCCTGGGGCTTGACGTGATGTCTTGTTATGTCGTCGCGCAAAAAATATTGGACCAGCGCATGGGAGGGATGAAAAAGATCGCGTGGGGCTCAAACGCCGACGCCGGTCGCGGGGTAGCGCACCGCCACACTTCATCTCTTGCCAGCCTCGCGACGCGTCCAGCTACGCGCAGACAACCAAGTACTCCGTTCCATCTCATCTCATCTCTGCATTCGGCTCCCCATCTCTGTCACCACAGTGCGATCGCATGCATCAGCTTGTCGGTCCAAGCTGCGGTCTCTCACACAACCGAGCAGACGTACAGACACCGCGATCCAGAGGGGAGTCGCGTCAACGCGTTCGCTATCAGCAGTAGTGGACATGATGTATCGCAAGCGTGGCTCGAATATGGTGAAGGCAGAGAGGGACTTGGGTGAGGCTGTGCAACACGTTTCCTCGCTTTGGTGGCATCCAAGAGCTGCAGTGACGCCACCGCTGACGCCTTGTGTGACCCGACGGCATTGCCAACGCATAGCCCTTTCAGTACTCAGGTAAGTAAAGATCTGTGTGAAAGCCGCTCACAGTAGTTGAAATCGACAACTTCGCAGCCCTTCTGCAAGGGCTTTCGCTACCAGACCTGCAGCAGGCAGACGTTCCACGATATCGCCGCACGACCAGGCAACAGGCAAGGCTGACCGGTTCTCTTGGCTGCCTACATATAGCCTCGTGAAGTACTTTTTGCTTGAATCTCATTCCCCCTCCCTTCTTCCTTTACGGTTATATCTTACTTGAATAATCGGAGTGAATTGGGACTCCCTTTATCGTTCAACTGCTTCGATAATACGGTGAAACGAATCCTCAGCTCCGCTCGACTAGCACGGCTCCCAGCTTCTCTTACTGCACTACGCTCTCACTTCTCCTTCAACTCACTCAAAGCCTTTACTCCCCCCACCCACTCAGCATACCATTACAGCACTTCAAGCACGCCGATCTCGAAGGACATCCGTCGCCTCAGTTCAGTCCGTCCCAACAGCACCCGTCATGTGCGACTCGCCCACTGAAGAAGACGCGCGCGCTGAGCAGTTGGCCTACTTGCGCCAGCTCATGGCTCTGGAGCAACGCAACAGAGCTAAGCGCGAGGCTCGCTCTCCATCGGTCTCCTCTTCATCATCCGAAGAAGATAAGCCAACCTCAAAGACCAAGTCAAAGGCCAAGACCAATGGTGTCAAGCACGTTCTTGTCAACGGTAAAGGTCGAAAGCAGGCTGAGAATGGCGCCGCCGATAATGACATGCCGGAAGACAAGCCCGAGGACGAGGAGCTTTACAAACCAGGAATGAAAAACGGTCTAAAGCACTTGTACTCCGGAAAGGAAGACAAAAAGGGCCGCTTTCAGTGGCAAGAGGAGATCCCCGAAGACCTTGGAGAAGCCGTCGAGAACGACGAGACCGCGAAGTGGGCGTTGCTCGTGCGGAACGTCAAGGTTTACAACGATCCCCGACGAGTATTGTCTATTCACTCGATTGTCGTTCAGAGCCCGCTGCTGAAGAAGCTGCTCGCTGGTGTACTGAAGAACTACCCGGGCGTCACCGTCGGCCTCAACCGTCTCGAGTTCCAGGGCAAGTTTGAGCCACTGATTCATCGATGGACTGAGTTGCAGGACGCTATTGCCAAGCTTGGCGACGAGACAGAGGATAAGCGCACGACCAAAGCCCACGCTGAGTTGCTCCAAGACATTCTCACCAAGGAATTCAAGAGCATGATTGATACCTCCCAGGACATGAAGAACAAGAAGGTTATGACATACGAACATCTTTGGACTCTGTATCAACCTGGAGCGACTGTTTTCGCTCGACAGGACGGTCAAGAGACGGCCATGATTTTGGTCGAGACGCGTTATGGACAGGATTGCAAGGGTGCGCCCTGCTTTTGGCTGACGTGCAAGTATGTCGATTGGGATGGCGCCAAGTTCGGTTCCAACAAGATCAACCTCTCCATCGCCGCCTATACCGGTACACGCGCCATCACCAATCTGCGTGTCTACCCCATCGAGTTCCATCCCGAGGGCGAAGCTATCCGCACTCGCCTTATTGAACGGGGTGCCAAAGCAGAAACTCTCGCTGGTCCGAACTATAGAGCATACCAAGGTGTTGCATGGAGGCAGGGTGGATTCGGGAACAAAGACAAGTACAACGTGAAGGGTCGGATCATCATCGATACCTACGGCTGGAACCGTTTCGACCCCACTCATTCGGTCTTTGTAACGCCACTGAACCAGAAAGATCCTAGCCCGCCACCGGTCCCGCCTATTCCGGGGCAGTACGACGAGGAAGAGATTGAAGAGTGCCAGGATGAGTTCGAAGACGAAGACGACAGTGGCATGCCATTGGATGGCGCATTTGCCGACGAGGATGATGCAGCCAAACACGTGCCCTTGACAACTGAACAGAAGCTCATCTGCACACCTTTACTTCGTGGTTACAGCCTGAAGAATAAACTTTGGCTGAACTTCTTCGTAAACTGCGTAAAAGACATTGAGTGGCAAGACGACGCGTTCGATAGGTTGGTGCTCCCAAAGAACCAGAAAGAGCTTATCTTAGGCTTCACGGAGTCTCAACGGAAGTTCCGCGATACGTTTGACGACGTGATCGAAGGTAAAGGTAAAGGCATGATTATCCTACTCTGCGGTCCACCCGGCGTGGGTAAGACTCTCACTAGCGAGTCAGTCGCCGAAGAAATGAAGGTGCCTCTCTACATGATGAGCGCTGGCGATCTTGGCTTCGATCCTAGGAAGGTAGAGACCAAGTTGCAAGACATCCTCGAAATGTGCAGCCGCTGGAACGCAGTCCTCCTCCTCGACGAAGCCGACGTCTTCTTGGAGCAGCGCTCCCTTCACGAGCTCGAGCGCAACAAGCTCGTCTCCATCTTCCTTCGCGTTCTAGAGTACTACGAAGGCACCATGTTCCTCACGACCAACCGCGTCCAGACCTTCGACCCAGCCTTCCAATCGCGTATCCACATCTCGCTCGACTACCCCGGTCTCACCATTGACTCGCGCAAGACGGTCTGGAAGAACTTCCTCGATTCGTCGTCGCAGGAACACACCATTTCCAAGGCTGAACTCACGGAGCTGGCGCGTATGGATCTGAATGGTCGGCAGATTAAGAATATCCTCAAGATTGCTAGGTTGTTGGCTAGTCGCAAGGAGGAGAAGCTTAGTCGGGAGCATATCACTACTACCATGGATGTTACTCAGCATCTTCATAACGAGACGCAGTTTAGTGAGCGTACCAAGGGTACTTTGTACGGCTAGTACGGGAGAGAGACAGAGGTGCGGGTGGGTAAAACTTGCGGTAACTATCGCGTCTTGGAGACATGAGGGACCAAGAAGGCAGCGCGACCATCTATCCGGAAATGTCAAGATCTCTTAGTCTTCGGGGATACAGTCTATCACATACGTAGAATATGGCAGAGTTCATCGAAAACCATGAAATGGGTGTTGATTCCCATGTCCATTGACCATGTGTTCACCTAATCTTTAAGAGAAGAGGATAGGCTATCCGACTTACTGGGCTTCCAATATGCACCAATCCAATCATAAGCATCTCTCAAGAACTTCTCGTTCTTCTCGTCAAGCGAATAGTCAAAGGCATGGCCCACTTCCTTAGCGTTGTTTAGGACCATCGGTCGACCTTCATCCGAATGAGGTTTCTTTGAAATCATATCCACTATATCGAGTCGAAGCGTCTTGTCGTCTTTGTATCGCGTAGGATACGTCTTGCGCAGTGTTTCCACAAATCTTTTGGTGTTCTTGGGAGGACAATTCTTGTCCTCATCTCCATGAATGATGTAGATTGGAGGAAGTAGATCGTGCTCGACTTCTGCATGTGTGTGCTCCACGCGCTCGATACCGTCCATATAGTCTGATTCCTTCTGCTTCTTCGGATCGGCCAACTTATGTCTACGTTGGAAGAACCATTGCCATCTCTCCGTTACAGAGAGAACAAAGGCGAAAGCCATGCCCACCGCGGGCCAGCGTGATGAACAGGTCGGTACGAGCCCGCGATCTTCGAGTTCATTGATCACTTTTTCGATATCTTCTTTACGGCTCTTGACCTCTTCTTTGGTAAAGAGGCTTCCCATAAAATCTACTTTCCCATCTTGCTTGGTGGCTTTGGCGCACTCGTCCCAGTTTCGCGCGTAGTGTGCAATCATTGGGTATCGCAGGAGCGCCACATCGATGGGAAGGTTGGTTCCACCTTTGGTGGCATTGAGCCACATTGCAGTAACGGCGGCGTGTCCACCAGCGCTCTCGCCTTCTATATACACGTGGTCTTTGTCGATGATGAAATCTTGCTTCGGCTCTTGATTGTAGAGCCATTGTGTCCAGCTTTCGGAACGAGGCTCGAGGGAACCCTCTTCCTTGTACCAGTTGAGGAAGTCTTGGATACTATCCACGATGTCCTTATAGTTTCCTTCGGGGCCGAGGGGGTAGTCTGGCGCGATGATGATAGCTTTTTTGTCTATGGCTTTCTGAACTGAAGTCTGGGAGTACCAAGCGGGGAAATCACCAGCACCCGTACACTATCATCCTATCAGTATGGTGTTCAATTGCATCATAGTCAAGAAGTAACTCACAAAGCCGCCACCGTGGAAGAACCACATAACCGGGGCTTTGTACCCAGCAGGTAGTCCCTTCGGCACGAAGAAAGTCACTACCATCCGCTCTTTATCCCAATTATCAGAGAATGTGTAATCAGTCTGGAACTTGTAAAAGCCAAGGTCTTCGATCCAGGTCCTTTTGCGATTGAAAGTAACAAAAGCACCCTTGCCTTCGATGAGGACATCATCTCGCGCCAGTTCCTCACTCGGCCAAGTATATAGCTTAACCAGGTCTCTCGTAAGTAGCTCCTCAACGTTAGCTTTATCATCCTGTGCTTTCTTTACGATCTCCAAAGCTTCTGGAGGCCAGTTCCACTTTCGGGGCTTGGCTTCTTTCTCGAATATCTTGTCGAGGGCTGCGTCGCGTTCTGAATTGCGCTGCTGTAAACCTTCGAGCACGACCGCCTCATCAGGTGTCCACGTCGGCGTCCAAGTCATGGTTGAGTTGTAGATGATCGTCGACGGGTATGGCTGTAATATGTTTTGGGCGAATGCAAAATCCCGAAACGTTGTGAAGCTCTTCGTTGTGATATCGCTGCTTGCTCGTTGGTGTATTGGATTTGCAAACTTCAACTAAGCACTTCTTCAACTTATATACTCCTGATTGACTCACCCACCGTCCCAGTCACCCCCGAAGACTCACAGTCGACGCTTATAGCCACCAGTCAGCCCGCGTTCGACTCTCGAGGAGTCAAGCCCACGTTGATATGCCATGTCCACCAACTGCTCTTCGTACGTGGTGCCATGTGATCGTGCACAGCGGGAAGCCGTGCGTCGTGACTCTATCGCTCGGGTACCGTCATAAAAGTACTTCTCGTAACACGTTGTCGGGTGTGAAGTGTCACACTGGATCCAGGATCTCCGTTTCTCTCGGCATATAGGCCACTTGTTGCAACCGCGACCATACCGTGGGGGACTGTATAACCTCGAGCCTCCGGTATCGCTCGTGGGTGTTTGTTCCTTTGTTGCCTGTCGCAGAGAACAAGACTTTGTTCATCATTCTCGTTGTTGCTGAGATCTGAGCTTGGGCCAACCATTGTAGCTTGAGCTGATGCGTATGATGGCTGACGAGAAGGAGTATGTCCGCTATTTCGCATCACCTTTTCCAGTTTCGAAGCAAGACGACAGGGCTAGTGATGTGTTTGTGAACAATCAATCACCAAATGGTTCTTCCATTCCAAGGTGTCATCCGAACGTCACGGCCTTTCTTCCACCCAACACCCGCTTGGTCTGCGATACCGTGTGAGCTCGTAATGTAGCGAGAGGTATTATGACCGCAAAGTGTTCAGCTTCTGAGTCGCGAATGGAGCATGTGTGGCATACGAGGAGTTGCAAAGGTGATGAGACGTGAGATCCGACTCCGCATTGGCGAGGGTCGGCACGGGTGGTCAATGCTGAAGCTTCCCATGTGAGGCCCCACTTTCAGTAGACGCGTACGGGAGGAGCGATCTCTAGCGGATGGCGTTGTTTGGGTGTGACAGGCAGACTACGTAGCGTACCGTTGTGTAGGGAGTTCTCCGCATTCCACCGGACAATTAGTTCAAACCCCAAAATGTATCTTTGTTAAGCGCAGAGGAGAGCAATCACATGACAGCATTACACATGAATCAGTTTAAGCGTGTGAGCATCTCACGCTGGGGTATTCATTACTCGCTCAGAGAGCTTCGTGTGCTATTTACACTAACGAACGCATTACATAGTCCTATGCTAAGTAGAACTGGACCTTCAAATGATCTGACTAGTTTGGATCCGGATTTACGCAGTCGGGACAGCGCCAGTAGCGTAGCCTTTCTCGATAATCGGAGGGGGCTTGGGCACATTTCGGCGGAGAACCGTCTTGTTGATGAAGTAAGGCACCGACTGGGTGATCTCGTAGTGGAGGTATTGCTTAGTGGGCACACTGAAGACCTGGTCCAGTTCTTCAAGCGTGAGCTGCTTGGTCTCTCGGACGAAACAGAAGATCATAAACCAGGCGATCAAGTTGAGGCCAGCGTAGAATCCAAAGGCGCCGGTCTGCGTCATGACTGACACCATACGAGGGAAGGTGAGCGACAAGACTCCAGCGAAGGTGTTGTTGATGCACACTGCCCAGGCCATTCCCTGCTCACGCTGGATGGTAGGGAAAACCTCAGCAGAGTACTGGAATGCAACTGGCCCTTCTCCGAGCGAGTACATGATCGTGAAGAGGTAGATGAATAAGACGATCGGTCCGAGTTTAGCAGCTTGGCTACCACTGTCGTTAAGGAGGGATAGACCGCCAGCCAGTAGGAAGATGCACATGAAGGGGAAGGTCTAGCACACAGTCAGTACAAGATCAGTCGCGCAAAGGTTGGGAAGTACTTGCCCACATGCAGAGGGTCCTTCGTCCCTTGGTGTCGATGAGGAACAGAGTAGGAATCGTGGAGACGACCTGAAGAGCTCCGTAACCCAGAGAGGCGTATAAAGCCTGGTCATCGGTAAAGCCGACCTGGGTGAAAATGGTCGAGCTGTAGAATGAGATAATGTTGATACCACACATCTGCTGGGCAATCATGACAGTCGAAGCACCGTAATTGGCACGCCTAATTCGAGGCACGCGGAAGCAGTCCCACATGCGGTCGAAGTAACCAGCTCCACGTGCAACGGCTAGCTCAGTCTCATAGATGACGTATGAGTAGTAGTAGTCGCGAGCAGCAATGATGGGGTGTGCGCGCAATCTGGCCATTGATCGGTAGCCTTTGGCAATGTGGCCATGCTTCATCAACCAACGAGGAGACCTAAGAGTGTTTGTTAGTATATGCTTGACATGATTGAGCTTGATGAATTTCACTTACTCTGGGCAAAAGAAGATGCCAACCATGAGGATAAAGGATGGGATGAAAGCAGAACCGAGTTGTAGACGCCATGAGATAGCTCCGGTATCCTTGACGATGACATTGGCGCAGAAACCGAGGAAGATACCTGTGAATAGGAGTTAATAACATATCGTCGACAACACGGATGATACAACTTACCAATGACAACCCACAACTGCCAGAACATGACCAAGGCACCGCGAATTCGGTGAGGCGCAATCTCAGCAGAGTAAATCGGGACAGTGGCGTTCTTTGCACCGATTCCAATTCCCATGATGAAGCGCGCAGCAAAGAGCCCTTGCCATGATTGCGCACAAGCGGAACCGATGGGGGTGGCAGTCAGGCAGATAGCGGTGACGAAGATTTCTCCACGACGACCGAGGTACTTGTTGAGGGGGTCGACGATGAAAGCGCCGATCAGACCAGCAGTCAAGAAGATGATGGAGTTGATAAGTCCGATGATCCATTCGCCCCTGTCCGATCCGAGAAGACCGAATTCCTCAGGGAAGGACAAGTTGGCTCCGTTGGATCCAGTCTGGTCCCAGCCCTGAGTGGCGGCTCCGATGGCACACAGACCAATCGAGTACCACATCATGGTGGGACCGAACCACTTGTGGTCGCGCTCGTAGATGAGAGCATCGCGCTCTTCCTGAGTAAGGTCGGTGAGCATCTCGAAGCGCTCAGGATCACGCGCGATAAGGGCGGCCTTTCCGAAGAGAGCGGCGTGCTCCTCCAAACCATGGGTGGCAGCCCATTGCTCGGCAGCGCCGACACACTCGGCCTTTGACTGGCGGGTTAGAGGGTTCTCGATGATGTTGTGAGCGACAGATTCGCGGCGGGCGCCTGTATCCGCGATGTGCTCTGCGGTGGGCGTGTAGTGAGGCTCCTTCTCGTTGGCCGGGTCGTAGGCAGCTTCCTTCTCAGCAGAGTAGGCTACTTCCTTGTCAGGAATGTGGCTGACGCCAGTGTCCTTTGCGTCCATGGTGGAGTGGATGTCTCGCAGGCTCCGACGTTAGTAAGACAAATTGCAAGGAGTTGCGGAGAGCAGTGGAGTGGAGGTAGAGAGAAATGGCGGGGGAGATGAGCAGTCGATCTTATACCTGGGGGAGTCCGGAGTGAGAGGGAGGCCTAAAAGTGGAGCCTCAACGGCGCACGCCAGCTGTAAGAGGTTTCCGACAGGCACCTGGGTTTTTCCAGATTCTCTTTCACTGGCACCACCGTCGCGGCGGTCGAGCACCCCGGGATCCTGGCTCGCGTCAGCCATTGAGAAACAGCCTTGGAGGAGGGGGTTTCACGCGCTAGCGCTATCGTTCATGAGGATCCCCACTCCATCTCTCCCCATGGAGTAAGCCTCCCCAAGCGTGCTGCGGCTATCTTAGCCACGCTTAAGGCCTGGGGCTTGGCCTTCACCCCAAAGCTTCGCGCAGGCCGACGTCTATGACCTCACCCTCCGCATTCTCGACCCCATGTGATTCCGCTAGCTCAAGCCACCGCGTTACATTGCTCGGCTGTCTTCCGAGCAACCGTCACGCCAGCCCGCTCCATACTGGAGGTTGGTGAAAGGGCGCTGTCAGCTCACCCTTACATGTTTACCGGTGTATCCTGCATCGCACGGCGCACGAGGCGCAATCGCCGTCACAGTAGCGCGGCAGGTATCCCGTACTCGTGGTGTCCCCGTGATCAGTGCAAGGCTTCACGTTGCATGTGCTTGGTGCGATCGAGGTGTGCGGCTTGTTAAGCTGACGCTGCCCAGCTCCGATCGGCGCCCATGTTGCCCTTCCCGCCAGCCGCCTGCATACCGGCACATGTTGGCGCGACCACCGAGGCAGGGAGCAAGGCGCCATTGTACTGCCGCCAAAGGTCCTTCCCGTTGTTTCCTTCTCATAAGTGTCAGCCCATCCCAATCTCCGCCAGGATCACGACTGCAATCTATCTGGAGAGGTGTTCGACAAGTCCTGAAAATGTAGGAAGTCCATCGCATCGTCGCCTCAGCCAGTGGACGACGTCGGCGGCAAGCCTCGACGAGACCAGCGAACTCGATAGCGTACGCGCGGCGATGTCTTGGGCACCTTGAGTCTCCTTGTCCCAACAATCCAAGCCCTCGCCAAAGCTTGGGACGACATCGAGCCCGGCCCAACTGTCAGAATTGTGGGCTTACGTCTCATTCGTAGCGACACGTTCTTGTGGAGACTACTCCAAAATTTTCTCCAGGCCTCTCCAGGTTTCAGCGGGTCGACACACAGACCACGGAAACATCGCTCACGTGCCTGTGTTGCACTGGACATGCGCACGCGCAAGACAAAGAATATGAGATGCGCAGCCGACGAGCATGCCGGTGCTTTTACCGCAAACAGAGGGACCAGGTACCGTCCTGCGAGCAGAAGCAACCCGCGGCTACCGGCTGCGGCACAGGGTCGCAAATGGTGAACTCATTTTCCCGGCCTTTTCTTAGCGCATATAATCACACATATTCACATATCGCTAGTTTTTCCAGCGTCTGTTAACCGTCCTTGCACTACATAGGCGCGATATGCACTTCGTGTCTCGAACCCATGAGGCTCTCGTTGAAGTGGGCCTCGGTCGATTGCAACGCTAGACATCGTCCGATACCCCACACCATGGAGCCGTCATACTCCACAGCCTCCGGATTGCCCACTTTGGACAGCTAGCCAGCATTTTTTCACTAATCACACTCGAGCCTCATCGAAAGTTACTCCGATATCCTACTAGTTCCCGCTAGCCGCAACGCTGCGTTATCGATTTCGGACATGACCGACAATGCTCTAAATGCAATCTTTCAAACTATCGCCTTCTCACAGCTCTATCTGCATGCTCCAGACCTTGGCCATGCGGTGCGAGATCGAGAACAAACACTTCAATAAGCAGTGCGCAGACTGGTACTACCTTTAAGCCCGTCCTTGGCCCGTCCTGGTGGTAGTAGGAAACGGCTGATACAGGCATATGCGCAAACAAAGGGCGTAACACATATGACTTTAGCTGATTAAAAGGCCGCTGGATAGACAATCAGCAATAGTGCTTCTGTTGGCCCTAACCCGAGAATCGAGCTCAACCAACAGTCCGGATTATGGTGTACATTATAGCTCTTGGTCATTATGTAGCGTTACCAACAAAGCTCTTGTGTCCATCAGACTCCGGGAATCTCGAACACTCAAGCAGGGTATCGTCTCCCAAGTATGAGATTCCTGTCAACATCTTACTCGGAGCCTTACACACTGTTCTCATGGTAGATTATACATAACATCGGCTATTGCAAACACAGGATGGTATTGGAGGCTGCTTCACCTCGAGTGTTACCACAAACATCGGCAGTGAATACTTACAGCACTATGTGCGACAATGCACGGGCCTTACGAGCTCTCACTATGAGCGCCTTCTAGTGTAGAGCTTTTGTTACGAGAGCAACCGCGCCTTCTATGCAGTAGGTCGAGAATGGCGAACCCTCAACTAGGCAAGAGTAATCTCCAGCCTTCCTCGGCTAACACAATCATCCAGGCACACTCATCTGCAGGTGCCATGGGTTCTGATGGTGTACGGACAAAGTATCTAGACGACTACATCCGCCACGCATACGAAGACATACAAGGACTTCCCAACTCCTCATCACGCATCTTCACCAGATCTCCAGGACCAGAGCTCCGACGCGGCCGCGAGAACCACATCATAATATACCCCGGATCTTTCAATCCACCACATGTAGGTCACACCGCGCTCCTCTGGCACGCCTATCTCAACACAGACGCGAACACCATAGCAGTCATGATCTTCGCTCTTAGAGACGACTTACTAGCTTCCAAAGATCATGTTACGAACAACAAGGGTAAAGCGTTTATACTCTCGCACTACCAGCGCCGCCAGCTTTGGAAAGACGATGTTCTAGGAAGATTCGCGTGGGTATTTCCATCGCACGATGACGACAAGTTGGATCTGTTTATGGCCACCATCAAGCGGTTAGCGAAGGCGGATAGCTTCAAAGTATCCTTCCGAATACTGTACGGAGGCGATTACATCAGTCAGAAGACTAGTGTCGAGGGACTGTGGGGAGGGGATGACAATACTTGCATCTGCAGTGATATCACACGAACCATGGACTTTGTGCCTGACGATAGTGGTGAATTGTTACAACTGAAAGGCTGTGACAAGTGGAAAACGATCAAGAGCGAAAGTCCAGAATGGACAGGGAAAGAGGAGCAAATCCCAGATTGCTGGCCTTGCTGGCCCTGTGCAAAGATGCGGAAGGTCCTCCCCGAGAGTGTCCAGAAGAATGGGTCGTTCTCGTTCGGTAAGTCTTCTCTCTGGTGTCTTTCGGCCGTGCCTTGTTGCTAACGTATGTACCACCAGACATGAATGCGTCAAAGCATCCGCTCGCGACTATCTTGGCCCGCTGTCACTTCGCTAGGAACACACTTCAGTGGACACGCTTGACCTGCAAACGCGGCTATATCATCTTCATCCCTAGCAATCGGAACGCCAATCCTCCTTCTCCCTCGGCGTGTTCCACAATCAGTGCCACGGCGATTCGAGAGTCTCTTCTGAAACTTGAAGGAGTGACGCAGCAGGTCCGCGACGAGATCAACTACACGGTACCAAACGGCGACTTGCTCTGTATATACCTGGGCTTGGACCGTCTTTGGGCGGAGAACGGAACATATGAGCAGTTGATAGGCGGCAAGCGTTGTGAGGACGATTTATGGTTGGAGAGACTGAGGGACAAGCAAGCGTACGAGGATGGGTACAAGCGAAGGCGGAGGTCATCATCTCTTTGAATGCCATGCCGCGAATACTTCGAATTGATCGTGTTCGCGCGTGCCACCGAGTACTTCTAGAATAGCCTTAAACTTTTCTAGCATCTTGCATGCACGACTCCCACAGTCCGATGTCCATGACCTCACCATGATGCGCGGGCCCGATGGCTCTTGTAGAGCTTAACCTAGACGTCTTCCGCACCCTTAGTCGACTGACCTCTCTTCCGCTCTTCCTCTAGCCGTGGCACTATCATCTTCATCGCCACAGTATTGTTCAACCTCCTCCGAATGCCCTCATCGAACACTTGGAATATCCGTTGCGTGCGCGCGCCAAACTCGTCAAAGGTGATTTCTTCCGTCCAGAGCTGCTCCATGACGTACACATATTCGTTCCAGTTGTCTGGGCCTAGAAGCAATGTTATCAGCGATTGTCCTCTAGAGCTTTGAGCGATGAGCAGTTACCAAGGGCTTTTTGTGTGGCTACCAACTCCAAAGGTACGACGTAGTCATACCTTGGGCATGGTCTCACAGGTTTCGGTGGAATCGCGGACGATACCTGCGGAGGCGCAAACAGACCGATGGGAGGCTGCGTGCTGGCTTTTTGACCGATGTGAGGATCTCCCTGGCTGTTCAGCCCACCAGCTGTGTTGTTATCCTGCAATCCATCGTCTAGTCGTGGCCGTCCTCGCTTAGGGGTACCCAACGGCGGCGTATTGAAAGACTTTTGCTGGCGTACTCGACTACCTTGTGAGGGGCCGTGAGTTGCCTTTGACTGACTCGTGGATCTCTGTGGCTTCGTTGGCGGTATGTTCCTCGCTATGAATGGTGAGATATCATCTGGAGAGCGAGCTGCCAGCGGCGCCTTCCTCGGAACATTGTTCGATGGAATACGACTACCGTTCCAGCCTGTCGGAAGCGGTGCGGGCGAGACGTGAGCGTTGTCTCCCTTAGTCAGAGAGTCATGACGCTGGTCAGCGGAGTTTGCATGACCACTGCCTTGCGTTGGTGTCGCAGGCTGTTTTAGATCGATGCTTCTTGCGCCAGTGTTTAGGTCGACGTTGTGTTCATTACGCGACATGCTGAACGGAAGTGGGTGTTGTCGGCGTCGGGCTGTTAGATCAGGATATGAATTCTCGAATGGATAATTGAGATGCGGAAAAGAAGGCCAGTGAGGTGGTGCCATGGGAGGCAGGAAGGCCTGGCCGCCCGTTGCATTTCGCTCGAACCTGGCTGGGAGATTGGCCGGCAACATGTTTGGGGTAGGACCGACGAATGGTCGGTGTTGCGAAGGCATTACTGGACCTGATAGAGGTCGCTGTCGCGTGTTCTTGATCTGCTCTTGCGCCATGACTGGGTGTGATGGGTAGGAGTGATGGGGCTCGACCGAGATCTTTGTCGAATGGAAAGAGCGACGTTGGCAATACTGCGCGGCAACGTTGCGACAGCACTGATTGGAGAAGGAACTTTCGCGTTTCGCTTCCAGATATTCAGAAGTATAGGCAGAGGAAAGAGAGAGATTAGCGTAGGGAAATTGGAGGTGAGGGGCGCTTGCTGTGTTGGGGAGCAGAGCTCAACCTTGAGGAAGGTGCCTTCCATGTCGATTATGAGTCTTACGTCACCAGAGGTGATTTGAAAATAGTTTTCAGCTAGACTTTGATCTACTGTTCTAGAAATATTTACCGCAACGCTCGCTTAGTCAAGTGAAGGCCCAGGATCGATTGGTATGCGAGGAGACCGGTGCAGCACACGTCAACCCAAGACGACTTGGATGCTGATTTAGATTCGATTTTTATCTAATATGAAAACGAATGAATGCGTAGCGGTGGTGTAACAACCGTATGAGAAGTATGAGTTGCACACAGAGACTTTACCAGCTCGATAGCTTTACCTAGATGCAAGCCGCCAAGACCGACCATCTATCGCGGGGACGTCTTTCAAACCTATTCCCGACACACACAGTGTCATCGAATTGGTGTATTCAAACAGCCTAGTATGGTTCAACTTCTCAGGGTGTGTCTACCTAACACAAGCTCAAGATGTCAGCATGTCCGCAAACACACCACAAAGAACGAAGAACAGGACCTTTGTTCGGCCCTTTATCAACGCAAAACCAAGGCCATGTACCCGAATACTACATGAGGCTTTTCTGCATTCTGGTGACGACGGGAGTACCATCTTCGTTCCCGCGCAATACAACATTTGACGACATACATGGCAGCTCCACCAACCTTACCTGGACGGCCGTCGCAGAAATACCTCACCCTGTTTAATGCGCTACCCAACGATGACGCGCGGCGCGGGTACTTGCTATTCTTAACGCAGTATGATGGCAGGATTGATGGGGCTGGTGTGCTTTCACGGGTATGGAATAAGACTATATCCACGGCGCAACAGGAATACATCAACCGCGCCACATCTGGGGCGATCAACCATGCGTCAGATCGCGGAATCGAGAGCGGAGGAGAAGAGTCGTCTAGAAACGATCCCCAAGAAGCGATCAATGGAGGTCGTATACAGGCAGAACCCGGAGCCCCAGAAGATAATGTTCCCAACATAGAAGACCCTTTGCATGGCGTAGCGACAACTGCTGAGGCTGTCAACCCGGAAGCATCGAATGAGACAGAAACGTCTGCTTACGAGCCTAGTGATACCGAGATTGCAATAGCAAGGGTTGGTCTTACCGAAGCAGATACTGGTAGAGCAGCACCTCCTCATACAAGAAAACGAGGCCGCGACGAACCACATGACCACGCAACGCAAGCATGGCAATGGTGCAAGACACTGATGGACTCTCGTACTAGATTTAGTGGGTCCAGAGAGATGCGCACAGTGGTATGCTTGTACGTGCTATGCGATGAAACGGGTAGAATGTTGAAAGTTAGTATCTTCATCAACCCCTACTTCGGTAAACAGTACTGACATCAGTTAGCGGAAGGTATGTAAGAAGATACGTTGTGGTTCGCAGAAAATGGTGAACTTTGTCGAAGATGAGTACAATATCAGTCGACAACTGGAGCTTTGTGATCATTGCCATCGCATTGAGGCAGCCTCTCAACAAGAGGGTACGCTGACGTATCGCTTGTACTCCGATTACGCCGAGCACGGAGATCTGAGCGAGCTTCTCAAAGTTTATTACCAGGAAGAGAGTCTGGACAAGCAAATACCCGAGCAGTTTATCTGGATGGTCTTTCTTGCGCTGGCCGATGCCATATGTACCCTAAACACGGGGGTGTGCGGAGAGACGCTCGACGAAGATAAGACGGCGGAAGGAGCAGAGGATGGCTCAAAAGTCGCAAAAGAGGGACAAAAGACAAAGAAAGGAAAGCGAGGGGGAAACAAGCCAACGAGGAAGTTCACAGACAGCATGGTGCACTTGGATGTCAAGCCAGCGAACATCTTTCTCAGTACCGCTAAAGAACCCTATCTAGCGTACCCAAAGACTCTCCTTGCTGACTACGATGTCGTCAAGACGATCTCACCAAACACAGATGCTTTAGAGGGTAGGAAAGATTGGGGTACGAAGGGATTCCAAGCCCCAGAGATTATCGTAGAGGCAGCACATCATCATGCTGTCAATGCCGAAGCAGATATTTGGTCGCATGGAATGGTCATCTGGAAACTGATGCATACTACGCTTGGAAGAGAGACGTCGGACCAGATATGCGAGGACAGCATCAAAGCTTCGTTCCAATTTGCAGAAGGCAATACGTTCACATCGACAGACATTCCAGGTTACGATGCGATGTATTCCAATGTCTTGCACCAGCTAGTAATTGACTGTCTCCAGGTCAATCCAGAAAAGCGACCAGGTTACGAAATGCTGAGAAAAAAAGCGAAAGCGGAGTTCGAGAGATCGCAGAGACGGTTAGGTCCGGTCTTGTCGGGTGATAAGATGGGTAATGATATTTCCGGTCACCTCCGAGTCCTTAGGAAAGAAGAGTTGGAGTATAAGCTAGGGGACATGTTTGTGGAGCCTTTGAGTAAGAGGAGGAAGAATTAGGCGCCTGCCGGATAAGATGGCGATGTATGCGCGTTGGTGCGAACCGGACTGACATAGACAATATAGAGCGTGTAGCGATCGCCTGATGTATGAGTTAGGGAATCGGTTTCCGATCGAGTCTTGATAACTTGGTGTACATCGACGATGGGTGCGTTCTGCCCGATGTCTTCTAAATCTTTTCCCTCCTTCTCCTGCTCGTACTGTGCCGCTTCATTTTATCTAGCAACATAGACGCCCAGTTTTCGATGCCTGCAACAGTATAGTCATCGCGGTAAGGGGCGCGGCACGAGCCAAGCTCGACCAATACACTAGTGTTGGCTTCATCACCGTCTTCCTAGTGGCGAGGCTAAAGGACAAAGCGCCTAACGGCCAACACCCTACCGCTGTTGCAAGTACCGTGCACTGACCGAAATATATACAGTCAGTTGATAAAAACAGACCTGAAGCGTTTGCCTAGATGCTCTGCGTTTGAGACTTCCAGGGTTCGATCTACGGGCAAGATCATTGCCGCGAAAGCGTCGTATCGGCTTTTTACTTGCAACGCTCATCATCAATCGAATTTTTGATTACTGTTGTCGAGCTGAGTAAAATGGCGACCACAAGCATGTCACTGTGCCTAGTCTTCTTCAGCCTGCTGTTTTATAAGGTCCGGAAGCGCCAAATGCAGCGCGAGGTAGGCGTGTTTGCTAAAGTGAGAGGTGGCGTTGCTGACAATCACCAGGAAGAAGACCGATATGCCGCGCAGATGGGGTGCAAAGCACCGCCGAAGTGGGCAGCAAAGTGGCCACAGGGCTTGGATCTGCTCCTCAAAGCGAGGCAACATGCAAGAGCGCAGACCATCCTGCAGTTCTTTGTGGACATAGTGGACTCTAGCGGTCCGACGCATGAGCAGCAGCTGCGTGAGTCTTTGAAGGCACAACAACACTGCGGAGTTGACACTGCATAGTCGGAGCTCGGGGTATCAATACGGTTGAACCACGCAACATCGAAGAAATCCTCTCTACCCAGTTTGAAGGTTCGCCAAAACCGCGTAGTTAGGACACGCACAGGCGTTGACATTTTCGTAGACTTCAGTCTTGGGCTCCGACCCAAGCACTTTGCTCCATTGATGGGAAGCGGGATTTTTACCCAAGACGGTGCAGCATGGAGCCATTCGCGGGCGCTACTCCGTCCCCAATTCACTTCCAATCGCTACCAGAATTTCGAAGAGATGAAAAAGTCGGTCGAAAGCCTCATCGATCATGTTCGTCCCGACAGCATTGTTGATCTCCAACCGTTATTTTTTCGCTTGACCTTCGACACGACAACATTCCTGCTTTTTGGCAAAACATTGAGCTCTTTGCAAAGCAGTGACATTGCTGGACAAGAGTCTGAGTTTGCAGCAGCCTTTAATTTGGGACAGGATTACTTGTCGCATCGTGGCAGGCTGGGAGAGTTGTACTGGCTTGCGAGTACTCCCGAGTTCTGGCAAGCTTGCAAGACTTCTCATCGCTTCGTTGACGACGCGATTCAAAGAGCACTGGACAATGCGGAGAATACAGAACCAGAGAAAGTAGAAGCCGAGGACAGGAAGCATTATGTGTTTATCGACGCGCTCATCCAAGAGACTCGGAACAAGAAGGAACTTCGCGACCAGTGTCTCAATGTTTTACTGGCGGGCAGAGACACAACAGCATGCTGCCTCACCTGGGCCTTGCGCTTGCTGGTCCGTCACCCTAAGGTTTTGGAAAGGTTACGTTCGGAAATAGAGGCAGTAGTAGGCCTCGGACAGCATGCGCCTCAGCCAAGTCGGGTGGATTTGAAGAAGATGAGGTATCTTGATCTCATTCTGAAGGAGGTACTTCGCCTCTACCCATCCGTGCCGGTCAACTCTCGTGCAGCATTGAAGACGACGACACTTCCTGTTGGAGGAGGCCCAGATGGAAAGTCGCCGATATTGGTCAGGAAAGGCGAGGCTGTCGGTTACTTATACGCTATGCATCGACGTACAGACATCTACGGCGAAGATGCACTCGAGTTCCGCCCTGAGAGGTGGGAGGATGGATCACTATTGCGAGATGTGGGTTACGGGTATCTTCCCTTCAATGGCGGGCCACGAGTTTGCCTGGGTCAAGAGTTTGCCCTGCTGGAGGCGGGATATACCGTAGCGAGGTTGGTACAAATGTTCCCTTCCATGACTGTTCCGAAGGATGACCCTATTGTCCCTACCGGCCGGGAAAGGCAGACCTTGACGTTGGTAGTTGCTTCGGGAGATGGATGCCGTGTACACATGCGCTCGTAGATCGAGACAAGTTCTCTCTGCAGGGACGCTTGTACACTCTGAGCCGTGCATAGTCTTAGACGTATTCATGCACCTGCGCGTGGAGGTGGTGCGCTCTCTCTTCGTTGTTTGGGTATATAGTCCGACAGAGGCCATGTTCCGACGTCAAGGTCGAGATGTATGATGATTGTGTGTCCCATGTTTCCATAGCTTCCCAGCTGCTAGGTCCACGTATATCCGCATCGCGCAAGAGGAGGGGCGTGGCATTACCCATGCGGCGCGTGTGATCGGCGAAACAGCAGCGTGCTGCAAGACTGTACTCGTAGTCTGGAGGGCATAACGGCGAAGTGATGGAGGGTCGGGCGCGTGGTAACCTTGGTGTGTCGTGTACGATAGTCGGGATTATACGCGTCGGTCGAGGGGCGCGATGCTGATCTGTTGCAACAGATTTATGGCAATAGCCTCTGATTCTCGTGCTTAGCCAGGCGTTGTCAGGTCGCATGTTGGAGCATATGATGTGCTAAGCGGTTGCCGAGAGAATGAACACGTCTGACGGTAGGAGGGATGCATAGTAGTGGCGACTTCGTGTGGCGTGTCCCACGTGGGAGATGAGGAGTGCATATGTCGAATCCGCTATCAAGCATGGCGACGTATAGTTGCGACTGATTGTACACGAGGCGCGCGATTGAAAGAGCTAAACCTCGATTGTGGGGTCGCAGTCGATGCCGGGTCTATCGAGCTAAGAGCGCGTTCCGCGCTTCGGACGCGTGTTTTAGCGCCAAGCATGTCACATCTCCGTTCTGTCGCTCCCGGCCACCCCCAATCCTTCATCCCCTCGCGACCAGCTGCCCGAACAAGTTGCGACCGTATACTGTGTACAGCTCGCTGTCACATCCGTTTCCGAATCAACAAAATTCCTTCCGCGATAGCACCCTCGATCGTTCCTGGCCTCGGCACACTCCCCGCCTTCACGGTGCATTGATTGCTGCATGCGTCGCTTACTGCATCCATGGATGTCAGTCTCCACTCTAGATGGCGTGGCAGGCCTTGAGCAACATACCCACCTGATTGCGGCGCCTGTCACAAATATATCGCCTTGCTTAGCCCGTCTTGTGAGGGGGAAAGAAGGTTCTACTCCGGATGTGCTCCATGCATCGTTAGCACAAAGCTCATGATATCCCGCTTCTAGATCACGTTACCCTATCGTCGTGCGCTCGTGGAGGCGTCCAAAAACTACCGTCACAGTCATACAGCAACCTGGCTGTCACTTATGGGATCCGCACATTTTTGCAGCCGGAGGCGATTGGATTCTTACTATCGATACTACATGGCCAAATGTAGTTGCTTCCATAACAGCTCCGACGGGAATGCCACAACGGTCTTCATTAGTGACTTTATGAAAGGCCCGTCGCACCGAAACTACCACACAACGTGCAGGACACGCATGGCAGGATTTACGCTTGTAGGGGCACATATTTCGTCGCGCCAATAAACGATACGTGGCAGCGTGCCGCCCCACGCCGCCTATCTCACGGGTAAGATGCGAACTGTATTAGTTCCACTTGAGTTAGCAACTGTGGGGAACCTAGACTCAGCATGGTAGGCATCCAGGGCCTTGACGGGGCAGATGTACCAGAACGGTAAGTCACCTCTGCGACGTAAACGCCCCGTCCCGCATAGAATGGTTCAGCGGGGATGCTGGTTTTCAGGTCCCTTGAAGAAGCGCTGTACCCGTCTTGTTCACACTTGCCAATTCGACTTGAACTTCATTCTAGCCCCAATGGCTTCCACTAACAGCAATCTTTACTCAACGACCAAGTATCTGGCTCAAGAACGAACCCAGAACACCAAAGTTCCAGGTGGCAGTCGCTCAACCACGCTATCCGGAGTCAAAGATGCCGATTTCGTTGCAATCGGCCTTGGAGGCGCAAACATGTTGGCGATGCTGTGGGCTATAGCTATGGGTCGCCGTGCCGTCGGTGTTGAACTTCGTGGCGACCCGTTTCTAGGAGTGCACTGGAACATTCGTGAAGACATGTATCATCAGCTGGGCCTTATCGACAAGATGATGTTGGATCGTTACGGACTGGACAACCTCCCGAAAAGACTGGATGGAACACTGCTTAGTCTGGCAGATTTGTTCTATCATCCCATGACCAAATCTAGGGACATCATACCCGGAGCTATCATCGAGGGATACGAGAAGGAACTCCATATGGTCGGCGAAATCCACAACATTGAATACATCGACGACCGCTGGAAGAATGGCAAGCCGCATCGCACTGTCACCACTGTGCCTCCGCCTACTATCCCGGAGCACCCGTGCCCGACCAAAATTCGTACCGATATGCGAGAAGTCCTCGACGGGCCTTCGACATGGCAAGCTGCGGCGTTTTCCATCCAGCTTCTTCTCCGCCGCTATCTCGAGGCGCTCGAGAAGATTGATGTCAACGCTAGCAAGACCCCCAGATGCCGCCTCTTCACCAAACACCGCGTGGTACAGGATGGAAGTGGTCTAGTCCATCTTCCGTGCGGCCGTGTCCAGATTCGGATCGAAGAAGTTACCGAAGTTCAATATCACAACGACCTCCAACGAATCCGCACGCCAGGAAGCGACTTTATCGATCTTGGGGTTCCAGAGCTGTTCAGCGTCGCCACAGGCATCAACTGCCGTGAAGCAGAGCAACTAGGCTTCCAGCAGCACGACGTACAAGTTGACCATGGCGATGGTCAAGGTGTC